CCTTTTAAAATCCATAAAATAGGTCGTAAGAGACCTATCTTATTGCTCAGCTCGATAAAAGGCTTTGCATACATCAAAAATACGAGAAACATTTCCTTTCCTAGAATACAAAAAATCTAGATAGTCCATCAACTCTTTCACATATTCACGATGATTAATTAAACCAAGTACCTCACTGTTGATAGAGTTCCGTGTCTGCAAGAACAACCGGGCATCCTCTCTCAACCATGTTTGCTTTGAATCGTCTTCAGACGGATCTTTTGTGAGATGATAATCTTTACCAATGCTTCGTAGGTAGAGACGAACTGTCTTACTCCAATCAAAATAGTTATCAAACCTATTAAGCTTATGTTCCATAATTTTTGACGTTACAGGAACCATATCAGTTATAGGCTTATCAGCCATGGTAAAAAGATGAAAAATTGATCTCATCACAAGTAGCCAACACAACTTACAGACGAAAATCAACAAACTTACCTCAACACAAATAGCCAACAAAACTCTTCAAAGAACAAAATTTGATACCAACAGAAATCAACAAAACTGATTTGACCTGGCTGAGATACTAAGGAACTGATCACATAGACTTGCTAAAAATATCAAGACGAAGCCAGAAAGGGTGATCGGAGCACCGTCCTCCGTCACACGTGCCCCCACGCGACGGCGCATGAAGACTGTTAGAGTAGATGCCCTAGAGCCAATCAATTATTGTAGAATTGACTCTTTGTAATAATGTTCATTAATCAATAATAAAAGGCATTTCATTCTATATCACGTAAATCATTCTTATTGCAATATGTATTGATATATGTCCTTAGAATGGTAGAACCGTGACGAGGGTATCAAGTGTTTCAAATCTTGATAGTGAGAACCCTATGAGCACATATGGTGGCCATTCTAGAAACGTCCGTAGCCCCAGTATTATTCTGAAGTAAGGGCACAGATAATACGGTAAGGCTATCATAGTGTTGAACGACATTGTCGAAAGGCAGTGACTGATCTCACTTGTCAAGGTTGTTTGGTGACAACCTGGTGCAACACATGGGTGCTTGTTGTAGGCGGATATACCGCAGCAAGTTCACTGGACTGACCCACCAGAGGATTCCATATGGATGGTAACCCCAGTGTCTATGGAACAAATCCTCTAACGAATGGTGGTGCATGTGATCCTTAGACTTGAGATCACCGGAGCGCCTTGTGCACCGATTGGTACAGTTTGACACTAGCCTAACGCAGTTCTATTCAGAGCTGTCAGTACGGTGGTGATTGGCTATATCAAGGAGTGTATCAAGACTATGGTGGATTGACAAAGGATTCATCACTCCCGGGTACGGGAGAAGTTATCTCACGGCGCAATTCAGTATATGGCAATGACACTAAAACTGTGGCCACAGTGGGATTGAGTTGTTGCTCTATCCAGATTATAATACGGGTCATTGGTCCAGAAACTGAATATATAATATCGAGAGTAACCGAAGGTTGACACTATTTCTATGCCTTCGTCTCGTCGAGATAACGTATGATGAAAGGATCGTATTGTACGGTAACCATATCGTTGACAGGTAGCTACTTTGCTGAATCCGAATCTATCGGGTGGCCATGATGCCTTGCTAGGGGCCAATCTTGGTCTGTGTATTAGTGAGACGATTAATTGGTGTTAATCGCGATACTATACACTACCGGTATGATGAGGAGCCTATGGGTCACACACATAGAAGATAATTTAAGAGCCAAGAAGAAAGAAGGGCGTTTTCGTCTTTTTAGGCGAAAGGGTATTTTGGTAATTTCACAGTGCAATTAAATTTGCTGAGGTCGTAGCCTTTTATTTAATTTGTTAAAAAATTAAATAAGTGAAATTACGGTTAAATGTGTGTTCGCACATATTTAATTAAATCATCATTATTGTTAAATGTTAATTAAATATTAATTGATTTTAATTGAAATAATGATGAATTAAATTAAAATATCTAATTGGGAGTGTTTGGCAAATTTGGGGGTGTTTGGGTTGTAGCCCAAGCCCATTCCATATGGGAATAGGGCAACTAAAATAAGACTATAAAAGGAAAAGGGTTTTAGTTGGAAAGGGAGTGTGTGTTATTTTATTCATTCATTGATTTTGAAAAGAAAACCTCCAGCCAAAACTCTCCCACGCCACTTTTACTGTTCCATTGAAAACAAACACTTTTGTTGTTCTTCTTGATTTCTTAAGGCCAAGGAGGATCTAGCAAATCCCTCCTTGGTTCTTGTTGATTGTCTTTGTATGGACCTCTACGGTTCGATCCTACACTTGGATCGGTAGCAAACACGTTCAGAGACAATATTGGTGGAGCCTCCAAACGTGGGTATGAATCTAAACTTTAGATTTATTTTATTTTCTGCAGATTCTTGATATTATACATAAACTGTAAAATTTGTGCCTTGATTTTGGGCTTTAAGGAACGATCTATGGTTGTATAAAATTTTGAATTCTGCTGAGCAACCGGGTTGTTTCCTAAAAAAGACTACCGCAAATGAAAAAGGTGGCGCGTGAGACTTGTTGTAGATTTTGCAAGTGTATGAAATCGTGCAAGTAATAAAGTGTATAAATACGATATCGAACCCAAGGGAAATTACTATTAACAATTACCAATTAAACTATCTTATTACTATTTGATCAATCCAAATTGTATCAAGGAAAACCTAAATTAAATAAAATTAACAATTGAAATTAAAAAGAGAACTGAACAGAGAACAATTAAAATAAAGCTTTGGGTCCTAGGGCATAGACTTCACACCAACTGTTATTCATATGTATCAATCACTTATGCTAATTTTATTAAGCTCTTCCTACAGGTGAAACTCCCTAAATTTCCAATAAATTTCTCTCGAACAATTATCGAATTAACTTTTAATTACTAACCTGAATTATCTCTAATCATATTTAAGCAGTTGAAGATCATTACGCTCTATGGAGTTTACTAGAACCTCACAAGTCGTGGTAACATATCTCTAGCGTTCGCTCAACCTATGGTTTTACTACCATAGACCAACTAAGTATCATCTCTCGATCTCAACATAGTCCATTAGTTCATTCAATTCAAGGGCCCTTAAGAATCAAAAGCATTAGGTATAATAATAAAACTTAGGAAAAATTCTTAATAAAAATTAACAAGCATAAATCAACACATAATCAAGAGATTGGGCTACATCTTAGCCCTAGAGAATAAATTTAGTTCATAATAAACATGAAAGAAATAATCATCTTTATTAAAACAATCATCATGAGTTTATAAGAAAGGAACAAGAAAAACTTATCTATATTGTGAATCAAGGCTCCAGAACTTCTGTCACTTTTCTTCTCTACAGGTTTTACTTCTCTTATTCTCCCCAAAGAATCCCCAAAATAATGTTAAAAGACTTCTATTTATATCCCACAAGGGTTAGGGTTTTGGTTTTATTTTCCTTAATTCTATTTAGCTTAGGACTCTTAACCCTATTTTCCTAAACAAAAACGGAAGACAAATTCTTAACTGTCGTGACTATGCCCTGGCACTATGCTGCGGAATGGTAGCTACTAGACAAACTGTGTCATGGCATTGTGTTGCAGCATAGTAATAACTCTTCTTCTTCTCACATCATTCCACTGTTCGGTTATTTTTGAGCTTGATAACGATGAAATTTGGAGAAGTGGTAAACATATGAAATGTAGCCCTTTGAATTAGCTTTCCAAACATCTTAATACGAGTTCTAAAGCTCAAGATATTGTCAAATGACGGAGGTATGCTCAAGCTGGAGCGTAATCTAGAATCTTCTCTTTACTTCAAACCTCCATAACGTCTTCAATTCAACTCTGATTCTTGATCCGTTTGTTTCTACTCGTCACTCCTTCCGTTGCCAACATGATTCTTCATCTGAGCATAACATTTAAGCACTAGTAGCCTAAAAAACAATCAAACACACCCATGATCCCGTAAAAGACAATTATGAAAATATTAAACAACTTTACCAAATTAAGCCTAATTTCCCACAACTAATCCCCATAAGCCACTAACTAAATGTGTATTTTCAAGCTCTTATCAAGACTCACGCGCTGCACCTCTGGTGACCAGACTTCAAGGAATGGTCGATCGGCAGGAGGCGCTTCTTCCTAGGCAGGAAGTGAGAAGAAGAAAAAAAGGCCACTCTCCAGGGTGACTCACAAATAATGTTGACTTGGGCAGAAAAAAAGAAAACAAAATTGAAAAACAACCTAGAATTGCTCTGATACCATGTGAAAAACTGAGAATTGATTGTTATTTTTTTGTTATATGTATTGATAAATTATACATCAATATATAGGAAAATAAAGAACTAATCTAGGAAACAAATAATCTAATCTAGGAAATGAATAATCTAACTTCCTGTTTTACACATTTGTTCTTAATATATATTGATTACAATCCTAATATCCTATTATAGATTTATACACTTAATCATGCAATATATGTGAGATTTTGCATGATTATCTACAACAGTTACCATACTTCTAGTAAAGAGTTCAAATGAAGAACCTAACTAGAAATATCTCTTGCCATCGAACTTTGAATCTTGCTCTCCTCCAACAGAAAAATCACAAAAAGATATACAACTATCTCTTGTCTACCTAGACTTTTGTTGTAATCTTAAAAACACCCATATGATTCTAAAATTATCTATGACTTTTTCTATAATTATTATTACTGACCTTTGCTAAGATTTGCTTAAATATCGCTAAACTCCTCCTAAAGAGTAAAACTGTTGGGAGTACAAAAATAATTTCAGAACCATAGGTGCGTATTTAGGATTACACCTTGGGTTAGGAAAGGTCAAAAGATAACATTACCAAGTAGAATAAATAGAATTTGCTACAAAGGAAGAAAAAAAGGCCTCAGAGAATGTGACAAACCTATACGTTGAGGCAAACGTCATCATCTTGAGTTTTCATCAAAGCCTCCAATGAAAGATGCAAGAGCTTAGGACAGTGAGCAAAAAGAACATCAGCTCCGTCACTATTCATGGATTCGCATTGGAGGATGGATACTTTATACAAAACAAAAAGGATATCTCCATTGATTTCCTCACTGTACTTGGAGAAACAAATAGGCCTTAGCTTACAATAGGGTAGATGCATTCAAGGTAAATCTTATTACCTTGGCAAATGAAGGCCTACAACAAGATTGGAGATGAGGGCATCTCTGTCTTTAATGAGGACATAGGAATTATTTGTTCGACTATTTAAGAGAACCCCAAAGTAGTGAAGCTGCACTTACAAAGACCACAAAATGAAAAGGATGAAAAAAACAAAATTGTGAAGTCTTCAAGAACATTACTAGAAGATGAAAACCTTGCTTTAAACAAATAAGCAACTGCTTTTTTTTTTAATTGTCATACAATTACTCTAAGCATTGCATCCTTGTATATTCCTAAGCTTAGACTTCATGTAAAGATAACTAAGGTCTAACTGATGTACTCATGTGTCTTTAAACTTCTGAAGTTTATTTTCCTAAGGCCATTCAAAATATTTAATCAGCATCAAAAATCTGTCATCATAAGTGCTTCCAGTATATAAGGCTTAAGAATTATGTTTATCTCAACTATACATATTCTGCCAAACAGAAGATATAGAACTCACGATAATTTAGAAAGTAGTTTTGGTGCTCTCTACGTTGATTGGGAAGAAGGTTGAGCTATGTATATGATTTAATTCATATCGTAAGGATTATATGACCAAATAAGCAACTAAAGCTTCTGCTCTCAAAGGAGAAAATCAAGTTTGACTTAATCAACTTATTCTACAACAAAACTAATTATGCTTTGCTAGCTAGCTGGAAAAATTCAGCAAAATAAGAATTAATATATAGTAAACTATAGTTTCTGAATTTTCTCAGCAACCAAACACAGATTCATACGATAATGAACCAGTCACACAATCTAAGCAAAAGTTGATGAAAATTACAAAAATGCAAATTACACAAATTAGTTACATAATCTAAAAACAAAATGAAGAATGTCATAAAAGAACACAAGACATTACCATATAAATCTGCCTTCGACTCCAGGCCAAGGCACCGGAAGAGAGTTTGTCAGCGATATGTAAGACCAACTCGGTGAAAATATCAGCATTGCTTGAGGTGCATAGAGTGGTAATTACATCGATAATTTGGCACGCAATAGGTATTTCTCAATTGTGTGAAAGCTAATTATTGTTTCAAGTAATGAGGAACAGAATTGAAATATACCTAGAATAAAAAAAACCTTTTAGATGTATTTTTCAAACACTAGTTCTTTTCTCTATAATTTTTAATTTAATGGAAATTGCATAAGTCTCAATACATGTGAACTGCATTAGCATGTTCCCATGACTATACAAATGATTTTAACAGTACTTCACTTTTTCAATATTTCATTTTTCTTATTATTTGATTTCTACATTTCTAGTACTATGAAGTTCTTTAAATTCTAGTCTCATCACCAGGATAACACACTTGGTCAAACTTGACATTTTTTATTCTATTAAACTATATAGCTATACAGATGCAATAAAAAAAAAGTGCATTAAACAGCACCAAGATGTAGATTCAAGTGACAGACACCAGAATCTAAAGATTACCTTATAAAGTACAGATGTTGAATCAAGTGAACTATAACGAAGACCCATGTTGCAAGATCGACAAGATTTATTCTACTTGTTTTAAACCTGCTTATACCATCTGCCTTGCTCTAAAAGACACAAGAGTTTAACTTAGAAAACATCGATCACAATGAAATGAAACAAAACTCATGAAAAAAACAAAGATATTCAAGTACTCTGTTGTTGTTGCATGTCAATAGATTCTACTCTTACGTCAAAGTTAATGAAGCAGATTTAATGAGCAAAACTACACAGAATATCAGATTGCTTAGCTGGTAAAGAGTATTCTAATAAATAGACATAGATTAATATGCCTTTAAGAGAAACACTTTATGCAATCTATAACTCATAATTTAAAGAAAAACTACTAATTTTTAAATTGCAGCAATTATTACCTTGCATCGTGATTCAACAACACAAGTGAAAACACTATGTGAGCGTGAGTTTTCTGCATTTATACTAACCACACCTGTCCTCCTGTTTGACAATCTCTGCATCATAAAAACACTAATCATAAATGTAATGCAAGAAAAATTAACAAATCAAACATATTAAAATCAGATATTGAGGGGAGACAGGAATGTTACGAGTGAATAAACCAATTTATTTTCCCCAAAATAACTACTAACTATGATCCAAAATCAGTAGATTAAAACAAAACAAAATGAATTTCATGGATGACAATTCTCTACATGAACCTCATCAATTAGCTAAACTTCCAGATCTAAGGTGAGAACTTAGGGTAAAGCCTTACACCATCAGCAATAATCCTTAAAATGCTTCAGTCCAGTAAGCAAATATACATCAATTTGAATCCCCTTAGAGAAGTAAAACTGGCATACCTCTGGTGAAAAAACAATTTCAGTAAAACATTTAATGTTTTGTCAATCTTTATTACAATTTATTTATTGATTATTTGAAAAAACTTAAGACTTCCATAGAAATCTTTCACTATTATATATCCCCCTTAAAGAAGTAAAACCGGCATACTTCTGGTAAAAAACAATTTCGGTAAAACATTTAATGTTTTGTCAATCTTTATTACAATTTATTTATTGATTATTCGGAAAAACTTAGACTTCCATATAAATCCTTCACTATTATATATAAACTAAAAGAAAAATAAAAAAATTCTCAAGTCACCTTAACTCTTTTGTCTGGTCAGTTCTCTATCTCCTTTTGAGTCATTTAGGAACTAGGATACAAGGAGAAGATTCAAACTCCTAGAAGAACATGAACGATTTCCTATGTACAAGAATCACCAATGTGTATATTTGATATGTATTCTTATATTTACTTCCTTCTTTATCATCCAAAAAGAAATTTATTTTTGTTACTGTCATATCCTGAACTTTCTATTTCCTAAACCATGGTACTGTATTCGCCAAAAACACCTCCTTCTTTTATGTTCAAACACTTAGTAAATTTCTAGTGTACTCTATTCACATGCCAGAAAAAGAAAAAGAAAAACAAATAGAGTTGCCAAGCATTACATGTAGTAAATCCTTAAAATAAATTCAAGCACTATGAAAAATTCCTATATGTTGGGTGTACCTATTAGGTCATAGTCAATGTAACATGGAATTAAATCTGTCAAGCAAAGAAACACTATAACGACAAGGAAAATGAATATATACATGTTCGTACTAGCCAAGGAATCGTACAACATTTCTTTTATAGGCATTCTCTAGAAAGTCTCAAATGCTAGGAACCCACCTTAAGCATCCTCACTATGCGGTCCAAGAAGAAAAAATGAAGCAAACCTTTATCAGTAGTTGTGTGACATCCTTCATTGTGCATATATACTCCTCTGTCAAATTTTCAACATAAACACCAGATTTGACATCTTCTCTTATCTAGAAGGAGAAGCAAAACAAGGTCAAGGAAAACTGAATTTATGTAGGTCTTTTACTGGATGTGAGTGCTTCTGTTACCTGAAGATTTCGCTTGGATCCAACAAATCTGTGATTTGTTCATTGTAAATCTGCAATAATATGTGGATATATTAGGACCTGCAACATTAAATTTCACAAGAGCAAAAGGGATAATGTCCAGTCACAAAACCTGAAGAAAAGAACAATGACATTTCTCTCTCTCTTCTAATACAAAACAAAAGAAAGAAACTCAACAATTTCTCGTTTTTCCACTCAGTAAAAAAACAGAAGCTTTAAAATTTACATTTTCTCAAGCTTGAGTCACTTTTTTCCCCAAATTCTGTCAAAATACAAAAAAGATAATATCAAATAACCATTGAAAAAAAGAAGACGGAAACAATTACTTGAACACCCGACAACCATTACGTTCTCAAAAAGTGTATAAGTGGCGAGCTTGCGCTTGAGTGAGGGAAGTGGACTCTTAATCTTGGAAGATGCCGGAGAAGTGAGTTCGTCCTTTTGCTTCTGCAATGACTTTAATTTTGAATTAGGGTTTGGAGATGGCGACTCACTTGAGTGGGTCTCTCTGAAGATTGTGTTTCTTGGCTGCATGAAGTGGTTGATTCCGATCAATAAACTACAGAGAGAGTAGGGTTTGGGCAAGATTGCTAAGATTGAGGGCATTGGTAAAGAGAAAGAAATGTAGCCGTTAGAGTAGAGAGGGGTAAACTTCCAAATTTTGTTGAATTATTCACATTATGTGGAATTTATACCCATAAAAAGAATAAGAAAGTGAAAGTTGTTTTGGGCTGGAAAAATTGTTTTGAAAGCGTGGTAGAGGGGATGTTCTTGCAGCGTCAACAATTGTATGCTTAATTTGCAATAGATAAAGCAAGCTTAATTTATTTAATTGGACTTGGGTGTAACGCCCCACTCGAGGTACGTAGCTAATGTCTCTTACTTTACTCTTGTTGACTTGGAATATTGTTAATATGGTTTGGTTGGCCCTTGATTGAATGGATGCTTTGGTTTGGTTGAGTGGTTGCCCTGAAATTGTAGAGACTTGGTGGAATTTTGGGGTTACTGTCTTCGCCGGGGCGAAGAAGAATCGTCGCCGAGGCGATGAGGCCCTGCAATCCATGGTGTAGGTTCTGTGAAGTTTTGCCAGCGGCGACGAGCCTAAGAAAAAGTTTAATGAAGATTCTAGAGAATTCTTCCTTTGGGGCACAATAACCATTCTACCCCTAGTTAGCAGGAAAAGTGGGGAGTGAAATGCAAGGGAATTACATGGAGAATAGTTTAATTAGGGGTGCATTTGTAAAGAATTAAAAGGGCAATAGTGGAATTCGTAAGAAAGAGTAAGGGTAAAATGGGAAGAATGGAGAAAATATGAGATGATAAGGGTTTAACTTTAGAAACCCATTCATTCATCTTCTTCTCCACCGTCATTCTCCTTTCCTACTTCCTCTCAATTCCTTTTTCATTAGTTCAAGGATTGTTAAAGGGCTTTTTGGAGTAGAAAATCAAGCTAAGTCATCCTAAGGTAAGGATTCCTGCTTTGGATGTGAGGTTTTGTGTATCTTTGTATATTAAAGTTGTATGTGTTATTATTTTAAGGTGTAGAGAAAAGTCTTCTACCAAAGAAAAAGAGAAGTGTTGGTGGAATCACATCATGACAAGGTAAGTAAATCCTAACCCAAGTTGAGATTTGAGAATTCTCTTGAGTAGAGATTTAGTAGAAATGATGTATGCATGTTATATGTATGTTATTGAGAAATTGAGTACAGATATATGTCTACTTGTTGAGAAAATAAGTTGAGAATGAGTATTCATATTGTGTTGTTGGGTATATTTTCTTTATAAGAAGTGTTGATGTGTGATGAGTTGAGATGAAGTTGGATGAGATTGAGTATATATTTTGGAGTGTTCCTCTATGATAGGGGTTATGCCCATGGAAGGGAGTTTATTCCCATTTTTGGATGGTTAAAAAGAGAAATAGAGTTGTAGTTAGAGAAGAGTTGTTAGATGCACATGAGTTGTTTGATGAAATGCTTAAGAGAAGCATGAGAATGAGTTATGAACCTTACTTATTGCAACATTGCATATTGGCATTTCCTAAGTGCATTAAAGAGCATGAACCATCCATATGCATTACTTGTGCATTGAGAAGTAGCTTGAGAAAGAATTGAGAAAGAGTAAGAATTACTCTAAGAGTTGAGCTACATTATGATGAGTAGCTAGAGAAAGAGTAGAGACCTTGTGCACAAGCTACTCTAAGAGCTAAAGAACATAATAGAGTAAGTTGTGCGATGGGGAACCCGTGAGTGATGAGTAGAGTCACGAGAGTGGGTGCTTTGTGATCCTCAGCCGTGCCTCGGGTAAGATGGGGCCGTGACCGTCACGTAGAGTGGAACATGGAATTCCAGCTGTGCCCTCCGTAAGAAAGGGCTATGACATTCAAGAGATATAGAGAAAGAATGTACACTCACATGCCCAAGGGTTCCGAATCCATGCATGACCAAATCCGATCGGTAGAGAAATGAGTAGAAGTCACGTAGAGTGATAGCGCCCAGCCGTGCCTCCGGTCAGATGAGGCTTTGACATTCCAATGAGTAAGAATGAGAAACAAAGGAATAGAAAGAACAGAAAGAGAAAAAGAGTAAAGTCACGAAGAGCGGGTTGAGTTCCTGGCCATGCCTCTGGTAAGATAAGGTCTTGACATACACCAGAGGGTGTATAGCAAAGAATATGAGAAACAGAAACAGAAAGAGAACAGAGATGAGAAAAGAATAATGTAAGGAAAGAATTAAGAGAAAGTGTTACGGGGATAGACAAGCAGAGGATTTACTTACTGAGCTTTAGTTGTGCTCACCCCGTTGTTTCCATGCTCTTGTAGGTTTTAGGTGAGTACACAGTCGGATGGACGTCAGTGGGCGAGGGAGAGTAGTTACACTGTCCACCACATTTTTGAGAACTTTTGTAAATAATACTGTAAAACCCCTCCCTAGCCGGGTATTTCCTAAGTATCCCTTGGCCATTGAGAACCTAGAAAACGCACACCTAGGAAAGAAGTTTATTTTAAAATCCTATTTAAAGAATAAACTTGTAGTTTAAAAACATATATATGTATATTTATGTTTATTAATTTAATTTCTAA